TCATAAGCAGATAAACACTGTGGTTCAATAAATCGGTAGACCTTGTGTTGGGATTTGGAAAAACTGATTAATTGTTTAAATATATGTTGTAATCCCTTAAAAGCCAGACATCCTCTGGTTCCAGCTTCTAATGATTTAAGATCTGTTCTTTTCTCTGTTTTGTAGATTAACTTTGGGTATGTTTTGGCCCAATAGAAAATATATTTAAAGACTTCACCTTTATTCAGACATTGTATTTTCTCATTGAATAGACTAAATGATTCATCTTCAAAGTCATTATTAGATTAATCCATTATCAAAATAAACACTATTTGAAGCACAGCTGATCGCCTGACAGCAGCCAGATCAGTGCATGCGCTGCATCATCCAATCAGTGAGAGATACACAGTAAGGGGGCGGGGCGAGTGTCTGAGGATTTCACCGGAGGATGGTCTGGTAGGTCCTCGATTATCGCTCCTCCGTTATCGATCCTCGATCCTCGATCCTCCGGCACAAATAAGGCCACTCGGACGGTACTCAAGGTGGCGCAGACAAATCAACTTCAAGGATTGTAGCCTTTGCAGACCATTTACATGCACTAAAGCCCATATAAAACACTACAGGGAAGGTAAACCCCAAAAAGCATAGTAGGGCCTCTTTAAGTTCATACAAGTCCACTGACACCGACCACATAGATGATGTTTTTAAAAGCAAACTGCATCAGGGTATCAGTGTCTTGTGACAAAAGCTATACATTCACAATGTAATCCACAAATAACCTTTTTTAGGCTTTCATTGTGCATTCAGTCATAACACTGTTGCTCCTGCTGAGGAAAACCTTCTGTACCCTACGAAGCAGGATCTGGCACTAATGGCTTAGAAGCTCACACCCAGGTAATGAACCACATGTCTGTCCGGAAAGGCCCAGTGTTGGCTTTTAAAAGCCACTGGAGCTTTTCTAGACACAACTTTTCCTGGTAGCTGCACAGAGAAATGGATATGTGTCTAATGGAAGGCTTTTAGGGGGTATTGATTTCGTTTTTCTTTCCATAAGTTTGGACCGGCAGTTTTGCCCTTGACATACATTCGGACAAGTATGCAGATGGGAGAAAACAACCTGCCTTTTCTCTTTCTCTCAGCAGCACGACAATTATTCTTTCTGTGTGAGCGGCAACCAAATTAGATCATTTAGCTCCTCTGATTGGCCGATTGAAACAAGCCAATGTAATGCATGATATGTGCATATGAGTCTTTAATGTTTGCTCAGCAGCACAACTAGTATTATCTCTATGTGAGCGGCTTCCAAATGAGATCATTAAGAACATTATTACGCACGTTAATGAGCTATCTGTCTCGCGTAGCACCAAACACTTTTTGAAATCTCCCTTCCTCCATCAGCTGCACTCTTCTGTCCACGTACATCACTCATACAAATATCTGCAGAGTCATCAGTTGAGTTGAAACCCTCCCTCAGACTCCTCAGAGTGAGGAACCTAAAGATGCGACTCAGCGCTTTCTTACTTTGTGTGACCAGCGCTTGGGGCTGTCATTACACTAATGCAGCTCTGCTATCCAACAAAGCATCAGCCACCAGGACGAAAGAGGAAAGACAGCACAAGATCTTAAGATAATACACTGCCCTACATTACAACCTGACATGTCTTTGCTTTTTAGAAATGTGCAATTACTCATCATTATGAGCTGCGTGTGAAAAAGCAGGACCTGTTCATATGGAAATATTTCACGAGCTATCTTTGGAGGCACAGTTCATACAGTGAAGTAGCTAATCACTTACAGATACTCCCTGACAATGGCATTTCAAAGCAGTTTTGATATTGCATAAGTGTTATTTCAAGCTCCATTTTCAAAAAGAAGTTTACTTGTGAACAGAAAGGTCAACAGGTGGATTGTCATGAAAAAAAGCACTATGCAAGGCTCCACTCCACCCTCTAACGCCCATCAGAAGTAAACACTGACGCATATCTTCACCCTTGTGAATACTGCCTGTTCAATGCGTCTATTGTATTGTTTTATATTTTCTAAGGGTGATATGTACGGTGGCCGACAGGTGTAAAAGCATTTCACGGTCCAAAACATTTCGATTAGGAGAAGCGCGTTGCAGTTTCAGAACTGATGCAAATATATAAACCCAACTGTGCCAAAACACATAAAAATGGAGAACCATTTTCACCAACTTGACTAAACATTTGCACAATTTACAAAACATTTACCATCTTAACTCAACGTGCACTGCATCAACCAAACGTTGCAAATGCTGGGACACTTATAATGCTGTTGCCGCTGTTTTCGTCAAGTTGGTTTATATTTGCATCGTTTCTGAAACCACAGGAAATGTGTTGGGCCGTTGTAACAGGTTTGTATATAAATAAACTCTATAATAATATATATTGTTCTCTACTGGATGACTAGACTTTGTGAGTTCGTCTTTCTCTCGCTGTTGTCTTTGAAAACTCAGGGTATATGCATATAACTACCTGAAGTATACTATAAGCTATTATGTTGAATTGTCTATCATCAAGATTCTCTCTGGTAGGCAGTGATTCATTGTATATATCTAGGGCTTTTATTGTGAAAGGCAGATCGCTACCCGAAGGTAGACAGAATGAATTTGTATAGTTAGGCCTACAGGGAAACAGAAACGATGGTGTCATTATTCTACAGCCATTGATCATGATCATGAAGCACCGATGTTGCTACTTGAATTTGTCAAGTGCTAAAGCTATGCGAGGACACCGTCTGCATGGGGTGCTTCTTGGGTGTGAAAAGGTGACCCCTCTGGTGGGGGATTCTACAAGTTTAGAGGTAAGGAAAACATCTGAAGAACTATATCTGTCAAATAAATGCAGCCTATAGAAGTACAAAGAGAAATACTCTATTGATTAATTGAGGTTGCAGATTGCACCAACTGAATACTCCACCGCCCTACATCTCCGTTTTCAAAACATGTGGAAGAATCTATGGTGGCCTTGAGCCAACATGTAAAGCAATGCTACAGGGAACGATATATGCATGCTTCTTTTTCTGTAACACTGTACATTTCCCCACTGCTGGATTTATAAAGGAATTCTGAGTCAACTAAACAAAAACAAGACATAGACCATAGACCTCCATCTTTAAAATGCCCAACTTTACAGCAGAATTATGGCGCTTTTCCACTGCAGGGCCTCGATCGGCTTAGTACGGTATGGCTAGGCCTCGTTAGGCCTTGGTAGGCCAGGCTCACTTTATGCTGCGTTTCCATTACAGTTTAGGAACTGGGGTAGTAACTATAGTAACGCAGTGTAGGCGGAGCCGTGACGTCATCTTCAATGCGAAACAGAAAACCAACATCAGCCGTTAGCTGTTAGCACTCAGAGCCACAGCTCCTCATATCTGTTCAGAAACTAGACAAAAGTTAAACAAGTACAAACCACAGACTGTCTGTGTCATGGCGAATACAGTCGCTGGTTTATTTAGGTCTGTATAGGCCGTTGTTGTGAGTGTGGACGGTCGGAGCATATACTGCGTTAGCTTAGCCGATCTCCATTCAGGAAACACGCATTTTAAAAGGTTTTTCGCCTGCCGTCTTTCTGCAGGCTTGTCAAAGCATTAATTCATGGTTTTTACTATCCGGTATCAGTATGTTGTTACTTCGGCATCACTTTGAAACGTGTATTACAACTAAATCACGGTCAAATATGTTCATTTTGTTGTAGTTCCCAGCGATACTCAGCCCAGTTGTTGGCCCGGAAAGAACCTCGATTTTGGAGAGCCAGAAAAACTGTGAAAAAGTACCCACTAGCCGGAACTACGCCTAGTGGAAACGCAACCAAAAACGGGCCGCGGGCACGGCACCGCGTCTTAAACCACACGCGCTCGTGCTGTAGTGTAAATAACGCAACCCAGTCTCATGGCATTTCGTCGCTGTTCACCAACACGATTTTTAATGCTATGTGATTCGTGTTCACCAACACCGATTTTCCCCTTTTTTCGTGTTGCATAAGCAGAATTTTAAAAGCAATGTTTTCTATTGGTAGTCTCACGACATACGTGTTATAAGGAGACAGGAAGCTGTTGTGGTTCAACATGTTCTTACTACAATAGTCAAGCCAGCAATTATTGCTTTTATTTTAAATCGTATAATTTTCTGACTTTGTTTGCCCGGTCTGAGAGGGAACAATAAATGGGGTTTGAGAGCCTCAGGATACTGAAATCTGTATTTTTAAATCTTCTTTTTTTCCTTCTAACTTGTTATTCCTTTCAAAATAACACACGCGTTATTCTTACTCAACAATAACAGCATAATGACCTTGTTTTTATTACTGGTTTACTTTCCATAATCTCTGGCTTCTTTGGACGGTCCGTCAGCGAACTGAATTTCCAAATAAAAAATATAACTCCTAGAGGCCTAGCCATCCGTTTCCGTTATTTTTATTTTGAAATTCAGTTCCTTGAACGGCGTCAAGAAGGCCGACATTATGGAAATAAGGCAGAGAATCGTGTTGGTGAACACGCAATCAATAGATTAAACAATTGTGTTGGTGAATCACGAAATGCATGAACTGGGTTTGAAATGCGCCATAAGACATGTTTCCAGCAGTGTAAAAACGTTTTTAACCTCAACCTAACCTAAACCCTAACCCCTAAACTGTTTAAAATGTTTTAACAAAACAGAGTTAATAAATATTATGATTAATACTTAATGCTAATAAATCTCCATTAAAAGCGT